GGTGGTTTCTTATATGGTTTTTATGTGCTCGATGGCCAATGATTCATAGCATAAACCAATTTTATGCATATTTATTGCAGTCTTAAAGGTCCCCTGAAATGCTTAGAAACACGCAGCGTTACTCTATGTGTTGACGTCATTTTAACTGAAACAGGAAGAGGATATATCAAGCAGCCACGCCCCTTTTTAATATAGCCAATAGCGTTCGTTTATATCACAGCTTGGGCTAGGAGCCGTTCAGAGCCGTTGAGCTCCGTAAAGCCGCATTTGACAGAGTATGCCAGCCAGGGGCGGACTTACCCATTAGGCAAAGGTAGGCAACCGCCTTGGGCCCCCAAAAACCAAGGGCCCCCTAAAATGCTTTTCATATAGGAGATGCGCATTAAGCGCTGACACGCGAAGAGTTGCTGTTTACGGTGTTTATTACCACAACAACCGTCAACGTCCTTTTTGTGTATCCTGCTTGAAGGAGATGAAAATATCATGCATCTGAAGCTGTAATTAAATATTGAGAAACAGTGTGTATTATATGTTTATAATTATTTTAAGTGCCGCTTGCTCATTTATGAGAAGGAACCAAGTAGAGGACACATACGCAGTTACTTTTTTGGTTGCTATAATCCTTAGGTGTGTAAATGTATAATTGCCTTTTCATTATTTTTTTCAGTTTTATTTAAATTTGTAGTTAAATAATATTTTAAAGTTTAGAATTAGACAGCCTTTGCACACAGGCTTACGGTGGTAACTCATCAGTGGACTTTACTCGTCAATATAGACTATATTTTTCTCACTAATTCAAGGTTTTATATGATTGAATCTCTGAATGGAACCAACTGTCTTCAGAAAAGTTTCGATGGCATTTTCATTTTATCTGATAAAGTAGCGTTTATGAGAGGAGCCCTGCTTTTTTTACAGCCAATACCAGGAAAACTGCTATATTTCTGACGTTCCAAAAGCGCCTCCTACTGGCAGAGAATGAATGTTCATTTTCAATAATCCAGTCTGCAGTTTTTGTTCAGACCAATGCGAAAATCCACTCACATAACCCCGTTTTAAATTAAAATAATAATTTATACTTCTGGCTCACCCCTGGTTTAAATGCTCAATTGTGAGGTTTATTATTTTATAATTTATTTAGTTTTTGTGAAAACCTGTATCTCAACTGTAAATCAGTTGCTATTTCATGCGCTACAACATGAAAGAAAGCCATTATAACATGTACATGAAAAATGTAGAAACATTGGACACACCTATGGGGCACCATTGAGCAGCAGCAAGCGTCACAACAAAAAAGGAACCTCAAGGTTGATCTAGGAAAATGTGTGCAAATGTATAGGGCCCCATTCCTATATTTTACCTGGGGCCCCCAATTCACTAAATCCGCCCCTGATGCCAGCCACAATCTCATCCATATTGCTATAAAATATAGCATTCTGTGTAGAATTCAAATAGCTCCGATACATTTAGTGGTCTGCGGCGACTCGTGCATGTGATCCGCTCCATGCTATCGTGTCTCTGGAGCGGAGCAGAGTGTGTGTGTGGTGCGGTGGTTAGCGGGACACAGCGCCAAACCAGACTTCTTCTTTTCCTCAATGGAAGCATGTTTACACTGTTTGAATCGTTCCCTGTCCCCTATATAGTGCACTACGTGCCATTCACTATACAGAAAACATTCTGTGGACAAGTGACCGATTTCAGGTGTGTGTGGTGCGGTGGTTAGCGGGACACAGCGCCAAACCAGACTTCTTCTTTTCCTCAATGGAAGCATGTTTACACTGTTTGAATCGTTCCCTGTCCCCTATATAGTGCACTACGTGCCAGTCACTGTACAGAAAACATTCTGTGGACAAGTGACCGATTTCAACCGCGGCATCAGCGTCTATTTTATAGTGTAGGGGGCGGGGCTTCGGATTCTAGAGAGCATTTGATTGGACAGAAAGTTTGATGTACGATGTGACGTCAAAAAAATCATTGAGCCGTTTTGTCGGAAGTGACGAACTGCAAGCTTTGAATGTTTATATCTTCTAAATGCGAATCAGAATCCATCCTGCTGTCACGAGCGGCAGAGGCATGTGCGCTTAGAATAAACGGACGATATCGTTCGCTGGTGTGGACGCTAATATCGTTATCTTTATAGTTATCGTTCTTGGTGTGAACGGGGCTTTAGTCGTGTTTTCTTGTAGTTTTATTGATGATTATTGCAGGGTGAGGGCGTCGCAACCTGTTCATGTTTCACCTAGATGTTACAATTCGATTGTAATTGATGCCCGACCTTTGACATTAGCACCTGAAGAAATGGTAAGTGGTTTTCTTCTTCCTTTTCAAAGTAAGTCTGCATTTAGTAGTTGCATTGTATGCTGTGTCTTTAGCATTGTTTTGTTTTTTCACTGCTTTTTCTGAACCTCAGATATAAACTATATTTTAGTCTTGTTTGTTGTTTTCCAGTCCAAATATCTAAAGATTCTTGAATCAAGATACATTTACATTTATGCATTTAGCAGACGGTTTTATCCAAAGCAACTAGCAAAATAAGTCAACAGTCATAATATACAATGGCAAGTTTATTGGACCTTTTATTTACTTGAGAAGCAATCAATCAACAATTATCCTTGCACACCTATCGATTGAAAAACGACCAAAAACAGTTCCGACATCAAAACAAAAGAAGAATAAAAAATGTATCAAAAAAAGATGTTGTTTTTAATTTGGATTGTGTATGAAAATATTGTGTTATTTTTTTTTTTTTTGACTTAATATTTTGCTATAAAGTCAGCTTTTCAAATAAATGCATGTTCGTTTAAGAATGTTTAGCTATTTGATGATGAACATTGCTTTTTGCAGTACTGAAAATATTATATTTCGAAACAATTTTCAAGTACACTTTTCACAATTTACACAAAATCATGTACAGTTTTGAACAGTTTTAGTAATATTTTGAATTACACTGAAACAGTTAGTGTAGGATTTTCTTTGAAACTATTTTCAGTCAGAAATTACTTGTAAATGTCACAAATAATGACACACTGAATTAAAATGGACTAAGATTGTATTTTCTTGCATTTTTTTTAAATGTGTGAAAAATAAACTTTTACAGTGTAGTTTTTATTTTTATATTTATATTCTCATTTTAATTTTAGTTAAAGTTTTAATAATTTGTTGTGTTTTTGCCATTTTTATTAGTTTTTGTTCTAATAAAGACCGAAACTGTATTTTCTACTGCAACTATCTACAGTGAAAAATAATGTTTACAGTGTAGGTTTTATTTTTATATTTTCTGTTATCATTTTAATTGTAGTAAATTGTTTCTGATTTGATGAACATTGCTTTTTGCAGTACTGAAAATATTATATTTCGAAACAATTTTCAAGTACACTTTTCACAATTTACACAAAATCATGTACAGTTTTGAACAGTTTTAGTAATATTTTGAATTACACTGAAACAGTTAGTGTAGGATTGTCTTTGAAACTATTTTCAGTCAGAAATTACTTGTAAATGTCACAAATAATGACACACTGAATTAAAATGGACTAAGATTGTATTTTCTTGCATTTTTTTTAAATGTGTGAAAAATAAACTTTTACAGTGTAGTTTTTATTTTTATATTTATATTCTCATTTTAATTTTAGTTAAAGTTTTAATAATTTGTTGTGATTTGCCATTTTTATTAGTTTTTGTTCTTTTTAAATATTAAAGACCGAAACTGTATTTTCTACTGCAACTATCTACAGTGAAAAATAATGTTTACAGTGTAGGTTTTATTTTTATATTATGTTATTATGTTATCATTTTAATTGTAGTAAATTGTTTCTGATTTTGTTGTGTTTTTGCCGTTTTTATTAGTTTTTGTTCTTTTTAAATACTAAAGACCGAAACTGTATTTTCTACTGCAAAAATCTTTTCTACAGCGTACGTCACAGTCCCGCCCTCCTCTCACCTTGTGCGTGAGCGCGTGCTGCTTGAGATGATGCGACTGGACGAACTCCATCCCGCACTCGCTGCAGATGAACGGCCGGATGTCCTTGTGCTTCATCATGTGGTTCTGCAGCTGGCTGGGATACTGGAAGCTCTTGCCGCATTCGCCGCAGTCGTACTGCACAGGGCCGCGGTGCGCCGTCAGGTGGCGCTTGAGCTGCGCCAGCGTGGGGAAGTCGAGTCCGCACTCCACGCACACGTTCTCCTGGCCTCTCTCGTGCTTGAGCTCATGTGCGCGGAGCTCGCTGGGATACGCAAAGCCCCGGCCGCAGACGCCGCAGCTGTAGGGCTTGACGTCGCTGTGCTGCATCATGTGTCTCTTCAGGTGGCTGGTCTGTGTGAAGGCTTTGTGGCACACCTGGCATTTGTGCGGCCGCGCGCCCTGGTGCGTCAGCTTGTGTGTGTGCAGGTGGCTCAGCTGCTTGAAGAGTTTCCCACAGAGGTTGCATTCGTGCGGCTTGATGCCGCTGTGGCCCAGGATGTGCGTGATTAGGTTATATTTAGACGTGTAGGACTTCTCGCACATGCGGCACTTCCAGCGCTTCTGATCGCCACCCACGTCTATATAGTAGCTGTCGTCCACGTGCACGTTCAGATTTTCGACTTTGCTGGCTTCTTGGCTCCTGCGGCGAAACCGCACGGCCTCTGTAGGGTAGAAGGGATTCGGAGAGAGATGCGGGATGGAGCCGGGCAGGAGGAACGGGAACGGGACCAGACTAGGGTGGAAAGGAGGGAAGTAGGGCGCGGGAGAGCGCAGGAGTAACGGCGACGGAGGCCACAGCGGCAGTGGCTTCACTGTCTCCTGCTTCACCTGGACGACACGATGGAGCCGCAGTCGGTTGAGGTCGATCATGTCCGGGAAGTATCGGTGTGGCTGAGGCACAACGGGATGAGGAAGAGGATAGGGAAGAAGAGAAAGGTCGATGTTTCTGCTGGTGAAGTCCTCTGGACGCTTGCTTTTGCTCTCGTTCGAATCCATGCTGGAGGTTTCTACACGATCAGATCAAATCATCCATCACCTGCTGTCAGTCGAGTCCGCACTCCACGCACACGTTCTCCTGGCCTCTCTCGTGCTTGAGCTCATGTGCGCGGAGCTCGCTGGGATACGCAAAGCCCCGGCCGCAGACGCCGCAGCTGTAGGGCTTGACGTCGCTGTGCTGCATCATGTGTCTCTTCAGGTGGCTGGTCTGTGTGAAGGCTTTGTGGCACACCTGGCATTTGTGCGGCCGCGCGCCCTGGTGCGTCAGCTTGTGTGTGTGCAGGTGGCTCAGCTGCTTGAAGAGTTTCCCACAGAGGTTGCATTCGTGCGGCTTGATGCCGCTGTGGCCCAGGATGTGCGTGATTAGGTTATATTTAGACGTGTAGGACTTCTCGCACATGCGGCACTTCCAGCGCTTCTGATCGCCACCCACGTCTATATAGTAGCTGTCGTCCACGTGCACGTTCAGATTTTCGACTTTGCTGGCTTCTTGGCTCCTGCGGCGAAACCGCACGGCCTCTGTAGGGTAGAAGGGATTCGGAGAGAGATGCGGGATGGAGCCGGGCAGGAGGAACGGGAACGGGACCAGACTAGGGTGGAAAGGAGGGAAGTAGGGCGCGGGAGAGCGCAGGAGTAACGGCGACGGAGGCCACAGCGGCAGTGGCTTCACTGTCTCCTGCTTCACCTGGACGACACGATGGAGCCGCAGTCGGTTGAGGTCGATCATGTCCGGGAAGTATCGGTGTGGCTGAGGCACAACGGGATGAGGAAGAGGATAGGGAAGAAGAGAAAGGTCGATGTTTCTGCTGGTGAAGTCCTCTGGACGCTTGCTTTCGCTCTCGTTCGAATCCATGCTGGAGGTTTCTACACGATCAGATCAAATCATCCATCACCTGCTGTCAAAACATGTGGAATGAGTTACTGCATTCATGCATTTGGCAGAAGCTTGTATCCAAAGTCATTTGGATTGCATTCACATTTGATCAGTTCATGCATTTGCTGGGAATCGAACCCTTGACCTTGGCGTTGCAAGCGCCACTGCAAAAAAAGTGATGTTTTTACAGTACAAATATCTAAACATTTTCAAATTAAGACACATTTACTTGAAACTTTAGTGTATCAAAATGAAGTGAGTTTTTGCGTAAAATAAGAAAAATATCTGCCAATGGGGTCAGAAAAACAATTGTTTTCACTTTGAATTTAGTTTCATTTTCTGACTCCACTGGCAGATGTTTTTCTTGTTTTAGGCATAAACTCACTTCATCTGTATGCATTTTTCAGATTTTAAAGTCATTTAGCTTCTCAAGTAAATGTACCTTGATTTAAGATTGTACACTAAGTAACTTTTGCAGCTACATGAATTGATCTTCACTGGCTTTGTTGTAAACTAGAACTAGAAATCCCGTTGTGTTCCTATCAGACAGACGCGACGCTCTCTTCCTCTCTGCTGTTCCTCTGTGTTTCATTTTCACTGCATTAGAACTGGAACTTCTCTTTTTCATTACAAGCCATTAGCCGGTGCTGCCATTCGAGAATACAATCATATCTCAGCGAGGAAATACTCAAAAACGAGCCCAACTAATGCAAACAACACCAAATACTTCTGCCTTAAACAGACGAATGGCATTAATGACACAAACAGCAGACAGAAACCTATCCTCAAATGAAGAATTCGCATGCATAACCACACATTTCAAACTAAACATGCAGATTATTTACTAAACCCTACATGAGCTAAATACAGAAATCAGAGTTTCATAGTCTGAATGTTTTCCTTTTGCAAAAAACATGATGCTCTCTAGTATGCATTTGTATTGCTAAAACATGCAGTTTAATGTAAACCCAAAACATGCACTGCACAACAGTTTTATTTGGTATTTTCCCCATGTTTTCCAGAGCAAATATCTCAAAATTCTTACCTCTTAAGAAACATTTACTTGCAAGCAAAATGACTTGAGAAATGAAGTCTTGTTTTCTGAAAAATGCATCATAATTAAGTGAGTTTTTGCCTTAAACAAGAACAAACATCTGCCAAAGGAGTCAGAAAAACAAAGTTATTTCAAAAATAAAACATGTGTTTTTCGAACCCCATTAGCAGATATTTTTTCATTTCAAGCGCATGAAGTCACTTAATTTAGATTTTTTTTCTTCCAGAAAATAGCATTTGTTACCTGCCATTTTTCTTCTCAAGTAATTATATCTTGATCTAAGGATCTTTAGACATTTGCATTGCAAAACAAGACAAAAATACTGAAGAAGAACATCATTTTCAGCACGTTAGTGCATCATGTGAACATTTGATTATTACAGAATCCATATTGATCCATAACTGAACACCTGCACCTGTAAAGCGCATCGGTGTGTGTGTGTGTGTGTGTGTGTGTGTGTGTGTGGTCTCTTACCTGTCTCCTGCTCGGCTCTCCTCACAATGAGCTCCAGCCGCACAAACAGCATTTGAAGTGACTTAAGAAAGAGAACAGGAACAATCACTTTGTTCTCATTTTTTCAGATGAGTACCTTCGCAGAGAAGGAAGGAAGGGAGGGAGAGGAAGTCAACAAGCCTGTGCTTTCCTGCACAAAAATAAGGAAACACTAGATACACATCTCCATTCCTCTTCGAAATGCTGCGGAGGATTGAAGCGACCACATTTACGCTGGAGATCAGAGCGCACATATGACCAGCCTCTAATTTCTCCATCACTGCACTGATTTAAGATGTAATGTTACGAGCAAACCACCCTGACTGATGACCTTTGACCCCTAGCCATAATTCTACACGCAACTGTCCTATTTAGAAGTCACTGTGTTTTATTGAGGACAGCATCAGTGAAGAATGCAAAACATCCAATGAGTGCAAACTCGTATGGCAAAAAAGCTATATTGTTTTTCTGATCAAAATATATTTCAAGTATATGGCTTGTCTAAATCTTCAAAGGCAAAAAAAAAACTAAAAAACTAAACAAAACAAAAACTAACAAAATATATGTACATACTTTTAAAGAGGCAAGAAAATACATTTTGGATAAATTCAAAATATGTAGCTTTTTAAAATATATTGTGACGAGCGTCCCGAGCTCATATCAGCGTTGCCCTGGAAACGGACGAGGAACACCTGCACCCGCTCATCACGGGCTGATTGGTCACAGCTGAGAGTCATCAGCCCACGGCCAGATAAGCCGCGTGAGGCCCGAGGAAGGGGAGAAGAGATGCTCTCCCAGAAGCTGAAGTCTAACGTGTTGTCTCCTTTGCATTCCAGAAACCAGCCCGTGACCAAGCAGCCCACGCACGAGCACCGCACGGACTCACCGACACTGGAACACGCTCACGGAGAAGTACCGACTCACACACGGAGAAGCCTCGACTCACCTCAGGACCCAGCGCACTCACTTGAGCACTTTCTCTGTGAATAAATCCACCCTCCGGGGTATTTATTTGAGCTCTCCTTGTCGCGTGTTCCTTCCACCCCGTTACACTGGTGGAGAATGCAGGTATAAAAAAAGTGGTGAAGGATACGAGGAAGTGAAGAGGGAAATTATGGCCCGGCTGGGGCTGTCTCCGGTATGCGCGGCCCAATACTTCCATGACTGGGTCTATCAACCCCGCTTGCCCGCCCGTGCCCAGGCGGCCGAGTTGTCTCGTCTGGCGCAACACTGGCTGCTGGACGGGGGGCCTACGGCCGCCCACGTAGCGGAACGCGTGGTGATCGATCGACTCCTCAGAGCTCTACCACGGACCCACCGCCAAGCCGTGGGGATGCGGAACCCCGCTACAACCCTGGAACTCGTGGAGGCAATGGAGCTGGCGGAGGCGGCACACCGGCGGGAGTCTGGGGAGCGAGGGCCGCCTTTTCCCCGGAGGGTGGCCCAGGAGCAACGCGCGCCGGAGGGCATCTCCCGACCAGTAAGCAGGCCGGCGGCTCCCACTCCGCGGGATGAGCCCATGCCGACCGAAGTCACCTCCACTCCTGCACGGACATGGCTGGCCGGGTGCATAGTACATCGGGACCTGCCAGCGGGAGCCCCGGAAGTCAGGGTCGAGGTAAACGGCCGGCCGTGTCGGGCGCTGCTGGACTCGGGCAGCTCGGTCAGCCT